CCTGGTCTTTGGGCAGCCACACGTATGAGATGAGACTCATCTGTTTTCTGCCGCTCAGAGCTGTAACTGCGGCAGCTCGCCAGGCTGACAACAACTCTGCTCACATCCAAGACCACAATGCAAACAACACGTATACGAACACTCACGTCTATCACATCCACAAATATTAACAGAGCCACGTCCCCAGAGACCCGACAGACTCTGAAGTCTAAAAAGACTGTGATAGGCCAATACCACAGATATATTCTTGCTCGCCTCCCACATTTGCTCTTTCTTTTGTGGATTGTCATATTGCCAAAATAATTTCACCACAAACGCAAGGCTAAGCCACAAAATGGTTTGATGACAGTATTTACAGAATGAGTAACCTTACAATGCACCAGTAATAGAATATCACGGACCCTGAATAAACATCGTGCTCGGTTTCTGGAGGTTATTTTTAAAGTTATTTGTTTGTTTTAACTTACGTTAGGCTCGTGTTTTTAAAAAATGTAAATAAAAATGGAATTTCTTAATATCCTCGTAAACCGCAGCTGTCTATTTCCAGTAAGCGGTCATTTCAGGCATGTTAAAAAAGGTCACTCTGCTTTAAGAAACCACTCATTCTGAGTTGTTGCTGTGGGAGTTAAATTTCACATTCTCAGACACTTATTTCACTATTTTAGTTATTGATTAACCAATTAAACTTGTTATGTGGTAACAACCTTTAAATCTGCTACATGGGAATTTCTCAGACTGAGATTTAATTGTGTTCACTGGCTGTTGATTACCCTCCTAATTTGACAATTTCTTCCAGAGGATGTGAGCAAAGTGCTGTGAAGTATCATAAATTGAACAACACTTCATTTTCCTACCCCGTAATTAACAGTGGAGCCATAAAACAGAATCCAGTTTCTTTAAGGATTTCTTAGCTTGAGCTGGAGAAAACCATTCATAAAGTTATAAATAGCAATGGTAGCTTTTGCTGGTACAGGTAGTTTTCAGCTCCTGTCTTGCTTCTGTGGTTTTTGCCTCTCTGTCACGTAAAGAGTAAATCAATAGCAGACCCACCCTAAAAGATTTGGATTTAGTAACACAAAATTATACTTTCACAGCATTTTCTCATCTTTACATCCCTGTCCAAACCGGTTCCAAGCAGGATTTTAAGGCCTTGAGAAATCCGACAATGAGTTTAAAGGGAAGTAGAGACGGCTGTGCCGGTCGGCAGCAGATGTTGGCTTTGGCTAAAGAAAGTGGTGCTGTTACTGAATACGGCTGCTCCGCTTCACTAGGAACACTACCCCCTTTCTAATCAACGCAGCCCTGCCGGTAAACCTCCACATTACCCCCACCTCTCACCCCAATTTTCTAATCTGAGTAAGACTGGATGGAAGTGTTCTTTTTCCTCCTGTGTGCCAACTCTGAGGCAAAACTTGTACTTCAGCATGCTCAGCTTGTCATCTCTCCACTTTATACAATAGAAGCCTTGTTTCAGAATTTACTAAAAATGGCTTTTTCATCTTTTATCAATCTTTCAGCTACAGGTCATTTATTTGGGAGCAAAGTAAAGGCCAAAGACGCTTCCTCTCTCAGGTGAGTTTCATAAACAGTCCTCGACAACAACCAGGACCTACATACAGTTATATTAGCTATTCAAATGCAGAGAGAAGTAACTGAATAAGAGCACTGTAGATAAGAAAGTAGGGAGGTTAGTATGGCTAATTTGCGTAGGTTTTGACTCAGTTTACAAGTTACACAGAAGAAAAGAACTGTATTTACCAAAAACAGGAACAGCGTTTAGATTCTGCTAACAGCATTATTATTGCCTCAGTTTCTCTTTGTGAACTTGTGTGGTTGCCTTTTACAGTGTAGTAGTTACCATGTCACAAGATCTGTCCCAGAATCAAGTGTTTAAGACTGATAACTTTAATTTCTAACTCAAATAAAGAGTAAACATTTCTTAGATTTCCTCTGTCTGGTGGGGTTTTAAAGTCCACATATCAGCCCTTAGCAGGTGGAAATCAGAGGAAGGGCTCAAACACATGGCCTTGGCCGTCGCTGAAGGTGTGTTTGATTTGGCTCATGTGGAGCTCCGGCAGCACCTGGTTGGCAAGGCTAGGCATAGCAGTTCAGTAGGACCCTCCTGCAAAGCCCCTTGGATATACATCATAAGGGACTCGTTGAAGAATCCCTAAGGAGAGGGGGTTAAAAAAAAGTATAGCTCAGTTATGCTATTTTTTATTCTTTTATATATTTATTAATCACATGTGTGTAAGTGTTTCCACTTAACCAGTTTTACTGTTGTGCCAGTGTAGCAGCGATGACAGGTTGTGGCACCCAGACCTTGCCGTCTATAGCGGGTAATTAAATGGAGAGTGAGCACAGATGTGAGCTGTTAAATGTGTCCAGCGTAATTTATTTCCTGTGAAACAGGCTGCCATTTACAAGTGTAGCCTGTACAAATACTGCAGTCATTTTACAGAAACGTGCCATCATAGCCGAGGGGAGCGTACTACTTCTTTTTCCTTGTGTTCAAGGATGTCTTTTGGTCCTCCCTCAAGCAGTAACTTTAGCTAAAATCCATTTTCTTACACTCGTCAATACCCAGTTTAATATATTGGAATGTTTGTTTGGAGTAAACATGAGCAAATTAAATATTACATTTTCTTTGCTCACTTTTAAATATTACAAATTAAAATTGTTTTTCTTCCACAAAACTTTGGTGGTCTGTCCCATCAACACTCTAAGAATGGGAGCTGAGTCAGCCTCATAACCTGCACGTTGTCCAAACCA